ATTAGAGGTAAGCMTTTGAGCTATTAATGTTTTTTTAACAGGGTAATATTGTAAATGGGCTGACACTTGACAGTAATGTAAATTAAAATGTGACATTTTTATATCATACTTTACCTGTAAAAATKCCACAAATGTAAACCTGGACTACAGTTCTTCATCATTTAGAGATGTGATGTGATGAATAAAACATTAGGTTTTTTTCTAATCATGCAAATTTATGTTTTGATGAGTGTCTGACGAAGGACTGGGTTAGGGATATGGTATATATCAGGACATAATCAGTGYACATGTATAATGTCATGAATGCTATGGGACATTGTGACTTGTTGTGAGTGACTTGTCATGTGGTCATCATTGYAAGGTTTTGAGCCTTGGCTCAAAAGACAAGTTGTAGGCTGCATGCATCCTACATCCTTAGACTGATTGTGTATCTTTGGTCAATTTGCACACCATTGTCTAAATCATCCCCGTGGCAAATAATAAGATCTGTTGTAGAGAAAGAAGCAGTTGATATGATTTTTATACTCACCAACAAAGATAGGAAACTTMAACTCTTTTGCTTTTCTATTTTCAGATTATACGGCATACAATTCCATATTTTATACCCATTTCAGACATTGAACAAGGTTATTTAAATACTGATATTCAGGTTAGTTTACATCTGAAAGATCATCAATGAAATCYTAATCTGCTAACATGCTGCTAACTAAACACATGAGTTTTCTCTATTTAATCCAAACATAGCCACAAAAGCATGAAATACTGTACATTTTAAACACTAAAGAAATAAACACAAATTATTGATGAGCGACTTCACAAAAACTTTTTTATTTCCACAGCTATTTTTCACCAAACTGTTAAAATATCTGAATGCTTACACATCAAGAAAAGAACAGGTATGCTTGTTTTTGACATTATACAATTACAATACTACAAATTATGTAATACCTMCAGCTTTGTTGTTTTGACAGGTCAAGCAAATTCAAACTTTGTACAGTCATTTTCTTGTTGGTGGTATTKCTGCTAGTTCTGCATTTGACTATGTTGAATTTACACTCCAGGTTTGTACAGAAATGATATAGTTATTAAACATACATGAAGTGATGTTCTTACAAAATGAGGACTTGAGGTAGATTTAAAATCCTAGTAAATATTTCGAGTCTGAGTCATTTCAACAGCTTCTCCACGTTATATACTAATTGGACTAATAGCTGATCAATGATTTATTTCTTGCAACTGTACCAATTTCAGGTCCCAAAATATCAAAATWCTACCATTGGAGTTAAACTGTCTTATGAAAGTCTCACTGATAGATATCCRAAGAAAGTTAATTGGGATGTACAAGGTAATTAAACCTTTTTCCTTATTGTATCATTTTYATATTATATTTTTTCAATGTGTCCAATCGTCCTTTCCATTCCTTCTTCTCTTTTTTAATTTCTCTTCTCCTCCCTTCATCAATTATTTCATCCGGCAATCATTTGATTGCTTTACTTGCCTTACTTTCCTCTTTACTCCAAATTTGACTTACATTAGCAGATGTATTGTTTCAGGAAGTGATAAAGAAGACATGCAAGGAAATTTAATACCAAAACTAAAAAACTTTAAGGACTCAACCTTAGCTACAGTCATAAATAGTATWTTAAATTCAGATGATTTCATGAATTGATGATCTGTACTAACTGTAATAAAATTTGTTAATAGAGTACAAACATTAAATGTGTGCAATACTTTCCACTATTTACTACAAAATAGTGTTAATTAAACAATAGAAAACAATAGAATTAGCATACTTTTAAGAGTATTTAGTGGTATTTATGTTGCACAGTTTTAGTGTTTGCACTAGACCTCAAAGTGTATTTGGKCAGCAAGTTGATGGTTCCTGAGGAACTTGGACAAATGGACTATAAATTTTTAGTCGAGAAGTAGACACCAATGTTGTTAGTGCTTTCTGCTTTTTTCACTGCTCTCATCAATAATCTCATCTCAGTTTTGAAGATGGTATGTCAATCTGCATATAAAACATTAAAAACTGTACTAGTATTTTGTACCTCAGGCTAAATGTAGATATTGCAGAAATCAATCGAGAGTCCTTGCAACATTTTAATCAGTCAATTAATCGCCTTRATGAAATGCTCTTTAGRAACCAATGAAAGTCATATCCTCACTGGACAAAAACTCRYCTTGGWGACAATTKTTTCTGGTAAATCATTCCTTGGGGTTAACCCCCAGGGGCCCTAGATTCATTAACTCGAAGATTGAGAAGCAATCAAAGAGTTATTGGAGGGGGACGAATCTGTTACTCACTCAATCAGTCAYTCACTTTCCTGTAAACTTGAGCCTGYGTTACTTGTGTTCAGGACTATTAATATTATTCTCATTGTTTTCTAGTAATTTACTCATTAATTTACCATTWATTTATTTCATTTCAATTTACCGTTCATTTTTTATCAGATGGAATATAGAGGGTCATATTTGAGCGGATCCTATGCCCACTTTGTTGGTGTGGTTCAAAATGAATGTCCCCATAAGTGTGTTTGGCTGTGTAGGGGTGAGATCACACCTGCATAAGGGACTGATCGTATATTACATCACAGGATGGGGCGGTGTTTTTTTTAAGCAGATGTATCTGTTACTTTTCTATGTACCCCTTATCAAAAAACCTTACTTATAAGATTATACCCCAACCCCCTCAAAAGAAAGGGAAAAAAATAAAACTTACAGCAACAAAAATATTAAAATGATTATTGAAACTTAAGTAATGGTCCGAGTAAGAAGCAGGCAAGCAAACAGCAATGGAATGCATGGAAGTGCTAATTTTGTATTGTATAATCCATACATCTCATTGGTTAAAACTTTAAAATTTGGCATAATTTCAAAAGTAAGCGATTTTTTAAATATTTTATTTAATATCTGATTCCGACTTCATAAAAGCTTTCCTTATCTTTAATATTAATAGCAATTCTATGTGGGGAACATAGCAAATTAGAAGCATTTTTTGGCTATAGTTTTGAGTATTTTATGATTGGACAAGATCTTTTAATACAAAAGAAACTAATACAAAAGAAACTTTGTTTCTTTTTTAGTTTATTCACATTTTATTTTAAAAATGTGTTACCCATAGGTTGATATATAATCAGTGTGAAGACCAAGACATTTGTATGTTGGGAAGTTGCAATTGCCGCAGAACAATAGAAAGTTGCCTGCTTTTTGCGTGCATTGTTACTTAATTATGAGGTTTTCCCAATACAGGTTCTTTATTGATAAATATGGGAAATAGATAAACGGATGAAAATGAGCGGACAATATAAGAGTGGATAAATGGATAGAAGTGTATTTAATGTTTTGGTAAATAGACGGTAGACAATGGATGAATGGGATAAGGAAGGAATGGATGGAAATAAGTAGAAAGATAAGCAAATTTAAATGAGAAATAGGAAAAAACGTAGAAAGATAAAAATGATTAAGTAAGAAATAGAAGAAAATATAAGAAATATACGGAAGAAAAGTATAGAGAAAAAACTGCAATATACATGTAATGTGTAGGGGATGGACTTGATAAAAGGTCAATTATTAGGTAAATTATTGTAAGTGATTCATACCCCCTGCTTAAGACATCCTTTGAAAAAATATATCCTCTCTGAAAGAGACATTTTTAAAATTGAACCGCACCTACATAACAACACCGCCCCTCCCTGAGGCATAATAAACGAACAGTTCCTAAAGAACAAGAACTTCTCAATCTATGTGATAATGGTGGTGATAATGTAGGCTTGAATATAGATGTCCTGTTCATCAATATGGTATAATAAAGGAATATTTGAAATAAAATTTGGAATTGTGCTTGTTTTTTTTTGTTTTTGTTTTTGTGTACGCGTTTACTCTAAATCGCGTCAACTTCCTGGGCTTCCTGTGCTCATAGAGGGTGTAAACCCAGAATGCGTTTCGGTTCTGAACTGGTCGCTTTGTCCATCGTTGCGAYGCGAACGCTATGTCGGATTTGCTTCTGTCAAATGCTTCATACTTCTTTMTAGTGATACTCTACCCGCCGTTGCCCAGTGTTTGAAAATAACTAAATGTTCAGTAAACTACCAAGAGCAACATTTAAACTTGCCAAATATATTGCTAGCGATGAAGGTATTTGTAAATTGTCGAGTCGTCGATAAAGCTCTGTGGCCTCCCTTCAGTCGAACTTTGACTTCTTTTACCAGGTAAGTTTAACGTGAAATAGCTGATTATTTTTATTCAGGGCATATCAGTTTTATTGAATAGCGCGGTCAAATAAGACTAATAAGCTTT